TATTAAAAAACCACTTTTACCCCTACTTTTTCATACCATACCTATCACATCATACTTTTTCACTAATAACCAAACTATCACATCTTACTTTTTCCCATCAATCAGGGGCAAAATTGGAAAATCAACCAAAATTTTACTTTTCTTATTTCCCCCCAAAGTCAAAACCGGAAGGGTTTTGTGGAACTGAGGGAGTATTAAAGAGTCCTAAATAAATTAGTTCTAATTAAATGTGAACAAAATTAAACATTCGCGATTATTATTAATATTATTTGGAAATGAAATAAATAATGTCTATTTAAAATTTAAAATTTTAAAAACAAAAGAAAATAAAAAGGAATGAATTATGTATATTTGGGTAGTATGCATGCATGCGTACGGGAAGAAGCGAGGAAGAAGAGGGCAAGCTCGAGCTTGATGGAAGAAGCCATTGTTGCTCGATCTTCTGAGTTTTCTTAGTTTACAATGTGGAGACAGACAGATGTTATAGAGGTGTATGTGTTCTTTTACTTCCCTGAAAATTAAATGTACCTATTTATAGGACGGATTCATGCATGCACCCTTAATGACTTAGGGCGTGTTTGGTTGGTGCCAATGGGTAAATTGAATTAGGGTGTTATTAATTATGAGGATAGAATAGGACTCACATATGGTCATTGGTCAATATTTCCACTGGTCCCACCAAATTCGTTTCCTAATCTTTTTAACGTACCATTTACTCTCTATATTTTATAAAAATTATATTTTAAAAGTTTTTTTTTGCCATTTGAGACGATATAAAAGTATTTTATGAAATGAGTAATTTACTTAAATAGGACTAAAATATAATGACTTTCTCAATATAGAACCATGTATTTTTATTTTCCAATGTAGGACCATTGGTCATTATTTATTAGTTATTATTCAACTAAATGTTCAGGATCACTTAGACATTATACTTCTCACTAGTCATTATTAAGTCCTATTTAGTGAATAAAAAAATTTAAGTTCTACATTGAAAAATGAGTTATCTTTCAGTCTTATTCAATGCAAATTTCACTATGAATAATAAGTTGATGTCCCTTGAATCATTAAAAATATCTTGAGTGGGACCGGAGGGTTCATGTGCATGCATGTAGGGGACCATGGATACAAATATACCCCATCTTTGGAAGGCAGCAAACTCTAGAACTCAAAAGTCAAACCTCACCTTACATCTCATTTCTTTTTAAGCAAAGTGTCAAGGGCCACAACTAATTCAAGGGTCCATTTACATGAGTGCCAGGATACACCATTTGTGGTACCCCATTTGTACACCACCCACTTTTCCACCACCCATTTTTATTTTATTTTTATTTATTTATTTTTTTTAATTTCTTGCCTTTTTTGTGTGGACAAGGAGGGAGTGGAGGACAAATGAGGTACACATTTGGTGTACCCCTAGCATTTTTCGTCCATTTATAATGTCCTCAAATGCATACTTCGAGTTACTCAAACAAAGGAAAGCCCTGGTTTTGCTCTATAAAGTACCTTGACAGCAAATTAAATACCCCTCCGTCCCATTTTAAATCGCCTGTTTTGACTTTTGGACATATTTAAGCAAAAGAAAAAATAGAGTTGATTTTTTGAAATTGTCAGTACTTTTTAGAAGGGATGACGATGAATGAAAAGATAAGGGAGAGAAGAGTGACTTATTTTAGAGGTAGTTTAGGTATTTTACTCTTAAAAGTTTACGAAAACAACTAACATGCAATTTATTTTGAGACGGAAAAAAGAGTAATGCTAGAGTCACAAACAAACAGTTCACAAAATTCACAAACTTACCTTTTTAACACTTTCCTAAAAATAAGATGCACTCAAATAATAAAAGATATTTTACTTTAAAATCCATAAAAGGTAAGTTTGTGAAGTTTGTGAGCTATATGTTTGTGATTCTAGCATTTTTCCAGAGAAAAAAAGCAAACAGGCAATTTAAAATGGGACGGAGGTAGTACCTACTAACACTAATAATAACAACAACAATTTGTTTAGTTTTGATTTTTTATCGTTGAAATTGATAAACTTTGATCATTAATAAATTAAAACTGATACTCATTTGATATTGGTAAAAAATGTATTTATTAGATTTGTTTTATACGAGTATGATATTTTCAAAATAGTGTTTAATCTAATTAATATACCATATCTGTTCTATTTAATTATAAGTCAAATATTTAAAATAGTTGATTGCAGAAAAACTAAAACTAGAAAAATACTCAGGAATGGAGATAGTAATATGACGTATGATACTACTTCCGTCCCTGAGTATTTATTCAGTTTTAACTTTTTTTGGTCAACGATTTTCAACATTTGACATACAGTGGCAGATCCAGGATTATAAATGGCTGGGGGCAGGATAATAAGGCGGGTGTTAGGGGGCAGCGCCCCCAAATTTTCTAAAGATGCTTTTAGATTATGATGATTTTCATTTAATTTTATATCAAATAAGTTTAAAATAAGTAAAACATTAGTATTTCAAAAGTAGCAAAATGTTATACGGAGTACTAAATAAAATACATATAACGAAGTATATTTAATATCACTAGAGTATTACAAATACTTCACTTTATATTCTATTTAAAAATGCAACAAACTTTAATTTTTTACTAAATCCATAACCAAAAATTGTTATAAATTAAGAATGAAGTAATATTTGCCTATTTGGGCTGCTTTTGGAATTGGGCTTTAAGCAATTAGTTGGACATTTTATTTACTAGACTGGTCAGTCCACTGGGGGCGGTTTTTATTTTATTACTAGGGGTATTATACTTAAAAGTAAAAAAATAAAAAAAAATATTTTGACTGGGGGCAACTGCCCCCATATTCAATAGGGTGGATCCGCCCATGTTGACCTATAATTAAATCAAATGTATATTGCATATTAATTAGATAAAATAACATTTTTAAAATATTTGATACTCCCTCCGTTCCTTAAAAAACTTCCCATTTTGATCGACTTTTAAAGGATTTAATGAGTGTATTTTGGTGTTGACTTTCCAAAAATATCCTTTGATGTGATGGATAAAGTAGGATGGAATGGTAGATTAATTATTAATAGAGAAAGACGTGTGGTATGATAGGTAGATTAAGAATTAATAATGGTAAAAGAGACTTTTTAATTGAAAAGTGAAGGGTTTTTGGGACAGATGAAAAAAGAAAGTAGAATTGTTTTGTAGGACGAAGGGAGTAAAATAAATCTAATAAATCTTTTTTTGTATTAATATCAAAATACGGAGAATCATTTTTATTTAATTAGATGTCAAAATTTACCAATTTTGACCGAAAAAGGCAAAAGTAGATAAATATTCAAAGAAGGAGGGAGTAGTATATATATATATGTGATAATCACAATATATAAACCAGATTGGATTTGATTGATTAGTTAGGTCAATCCAAAAGTTTATATACTTCCTCCGTCCCAAATTATTTGCCACATTTGTATTCTCGAGGCAAAATATCAAATTTTTTCAATTCATTTTAATTATTTACATATTGGTATAGATATAAAAAATAAAATTTACATATAAAAAAACTAAATGAAAAGTTCTTCGAAATAAGAGGTGTCAAGAATTTTTTATTTTATCAAATAACCAATGAAAACGTCGAAATGTTGTGAATATTTAGGGACGGAGAGAGTATATACCAATTTTTTTTAATTTCTAATATGGGATAGACTCTAACATTCTTTCATGTGCAAAATGCATTCTTGCCTTCTGTTGAGCGCAAGTGGTAGGGAATGACCAAACTTTCATATTGATTTCTCTCAAATTCAAAAAATATTAAAACCATTGACCGATTTGAAGAATTTCAGAATTTCTCATATTTGGAGATCGATATCTAATTCGATATCTTTTTTAGTTTTATCAAACACACAAAAAAGGTTTTGATGTTTGGGGATATCCGAACTCACATTTCTCTTTGAACTTTTGTTCAAATAAAAAAACTCTACATTCCATCTACCTACTAAATAAATAATCAAAAAATTATTTACTCACGTATATCTTGACAAATTTCAAAATACTCATATTACTCCTGAGTTTTTTTGTTTAATTAGATACCAAAACTATGACAAAACAGAAGTTTTAAATCGAAGCGGAATACATATGTTTTTAACTTTTCTTAAAAACACTTCTAAAGCCCATTTTAGACTGTAAAAGTCATAATCTATAAAAATATTTGTACTAAATAGCACTAAAACTTAAGTTATTTTCTTAAATAGCACTTAAACTGTTTTATTCTCTAAATAACACTTAATAATATCCAGGAGAAATAATGTCCAGTGATAGCAAAGATTTACTTAAATAATGACTAAAAGTACTACATTGGAAAAAAAACACATATAATACTCCCTCCGTCCTAAAACTTTCTTCCCATTTCCCCTTTTTCACCGTCCTAAAACTACCTTCCCATTAGAAAAAAAAAGATGACAAATGACATTAATACCCTCATGTATTTACACCAATAATCTTCTAACTCTATATTTTGAATGATTGCAAAAAAAAATTTCAAAAAATCTTTTTTAAGGAGGGTAAAATTTGAAGTCAAAACCAAAAATTAAAAATGGAGAAAAGTCAAACTGGGAAGAAAGAATTAGGACGGAGGGAGTATTATTTAAAAAAAGTCATTACATTTTAGTGTCATTTAAGTAAATTTCCCTCATCTATAATCAGAAGCAGATTGACAAACACGACAAACATTATTTTAGTGAAACAAAAACTCATAAGTAGTTTTTAAATGCAACCCCAAACGCCTCTAACTCTTTCCATGAGTATTAGTTGCTTCTGCTTTTCATTTCGCCCACTCTTTCCATGTGTTTTAGAAAACAGGAGTACGAATTAGAAAGGATAATTTCGATTAGATGAATAAATATGACTCCCTTTTTGTCCTTCGCCAGATTACAGTGTTAATGATATATATATATATATATATATATGTAATAAATGTAACGTTGATATGGCATTGCATACATAAATAAAAAATATTTGGAGAAAGTAAAACATATATTTAAGCCAAATAACAAGTGTGAATCCCCGACGACGATGCACCGTACCACCACCACAACGGCCGCTGCTACTGTTTGTTTGGAACAAGGTCTAATGGGTAATGGCCAAGCCTTCCAGTGCGGTATAGATTCAGTATTTTAGCAGAAATTTTGTGCAAATCAGCTCTTGATTCAGAAGGCAAATAAAAAGCTTCCCCCAAATTAGCAAACTCCACTTTGATGAGTTGCAGCAAGCTTTCTTCATCACCCAGGTCTCCATTGAAAGATGCAATAGCATCAAACAAAGTTTTCCGGACATTGTTCACAATAAAATCCTGCACAAACATTTGTCATGTAGGGAGGGTGTTTCGGATTTGTTTTGAAAAAAAAAAATATCGGCTTTCGTTTTGGATAGTAGTAGTTTGGAATATAAAGTCTGAGAGGGGTTTTTTTCAGAGACGAAAATGCAGGAACTGAGAAATAGCTCTGAGACTCTGAAAACCCCTGGCTCAAGTTCTATTTACTCCGTATTTAATTATCTATTTTGACACAAGCTCTCAAGTATTAATTGAATGCCTGGGTTGTAATATAATTCTGCTTTTCTAAAGTATCTATTTTGACACAAGCTCTCAAGTATTAATTGAATGCCTGGGTTGTAATATAATTCTGCTTTTCTAAATCAATTTCCATTTGCCATTTATTGAACAAGTGCAAGAGAACTATTTATAAGGGCAGGAGGAAGTAAAAAGATAGTGAGACGAAGGAAAGTACGATGCAATGAGGGAACTATACCTGTGTGTGATCTGTCAAATATTGCCGCGTTCTCTGTGTTTTCTTAGAGTCAAAGCAGCCATTGTTAGCAGCTGCTATGACTGTCTCTTTCTCAATGGCAACCAACTTTGCCCATTTCTTGAATTCATCACTCGTGTTAACAATTCCTAGAAGATACTGAGCAAGCTCTACTTCACCAACTAAACAATTGCGGATGGCACCTGGTGTCAAAAGGAAAAACCATCATGTTCACGTGACACCCCCCCCCCCCCACAACAACAAAACAAGTAAAATCCCGTAAAAAGTAGGTCTGATGAAGGTGGGTGTGAAGACCTTACCCCTACTTGCAAGTAGAGAGACTATTTCTAAAAGACCTCCGGCTCAAACACAGAAGCAGGTCAAAGTAAAGAAGAAACATTTTTAAAATTCAAAATAGGCACCTGTTAGAGCAAGCTTGCAACAGACATCAGCATCAGGAATATGGGGTGGCAAAATACCAGGCGTGTCCAGCACATATATACTAGGATGGCTAGCAATCTCATTTACACATCAAACATAAGCATGCTTTTCAAAGGGAGTTAAAAGAAAGGAACGACTAGTTAAAAAAACAACCCGTGTAGACCAAAGAAGGGAGAGGGTTTTACACCTTCAAGCTGCTAATATCTCTAGTCTCTCCAGGATGAGGACTTACGGTAGCATGCTTTAGTCTTCCCTTCTCTTCAAATCAATGCAACGTGTATCAGAAAGTCGGAAGGGTTTACAATTTTCTAGAAATATAATCCAAACAAAAAAAAGAACACCTGCTGCACTAATTCGCCCAATCTGATGCAATCCATTTGCAAGTGCAGATTTTCCAACATTAGGAATACCAACAAGCATTAATGTTATAGTATGCTGATGGTGACCACTATCTGTTAGTTCTCTTACTCTGGATTGCAGAAAATTCAAGAACTGACAAAATGTAGTTGCAGTAAGTACGTGCCCATCGGTTTATAGTGTATCAGGAAATGGCTTCCCTAAATACATTCTTAATGCAACAATAATAACAACAACCTACCCAATAAAGTCCTAGAAGTGGGGTCTAGTATGGCACTGTGGGTGTACACAGACTTTACCCCTACTTATACAAGTACAGAGGTTGGTTCTGGAAGACCCTCGAGATTTTAAAAAACACAGATTAGCAAAATACAACAGAGATTGTACCTCCTTAATGCTATCTCTATTATGAGAATTAACTCCAAACACTACATTATCTTGTTCTTCAAAGTGATCCATCCATTCCTACATAAAAACAGATGATAAACTGTCGACGGTCAGCACCGAAAGAGCTTTGTGCATCAAGATCCTATACCATACGCTTAAACATGACCGGTTTTACTGTAAGAGACGCCAAGTTGGTCAGGCAATGAGCATGGTGACCACAAGGTCCCATTTTTTAATCCTGTACTCGCCTTTTTGGTAGAGCCGGTGAGCTGTGATTCATCCTAGGCTGGTTTACATTCTCAATCTTCTTAGCCAACTAGTGTCATGAGGTGAGGGTTCACCCACTACACACTGTAAGGTAGTGATCGTAGGTTCAGACGTCATCCAATAAAAACATGTCCGATTCCAACAAATTACTAATAAACCTTCGGAAACTTCATCTATGTTGTACGGAGTAATAACTAGAGGTTACCTTCACTTGTGACCTACTGGCAAAATCTGTCTTGTTCAAAACTATAACTTGACTCGTGGAAGATGAACATTTTTTCAGCAGTTTGAATTTTGATGACAAAGGGATCTGGATAGTAAGAAGGAAAAATTTCAATATCAAAGTATAAACAACTTGTTTTTATAAAAACTTCCTAGCAAGGACACACCATGCTTCTACTTGCGACATTAAGGGTCTCTTTGGAGTGTTTAGACTTTAAATCTCTCGCGGAATACATACATATACACCTTTTAATTTACAATAGATGCAACAGACTAATCAAAAATTCTAACCCATCAAAGCGTGAGGGGTTAGAATCTCTTATGGAGTATTTTTTTCTTTGAAAGTTGACACTCTGCATATAATGTTATATTAAATATTTCAAGAATTTCTATTTAACACATACTTGTAGACTCGTAGTATATTTGTGATATGCCTGCTACTCTGCTAGTACTTTAGAGTTAGTTTCACCTCCTAACTAAAGTTATCCGTACGCCACTACTTCCTTTATTGATACAGAGCACTATTTGTCTATTATTATTACTCCTGATTAATTTAGGGCCATTTACTTCTACACCTTTTTAAAGCATTCAATCATGTATTTTCACATTTAAATCTGAAGGAACTCAATTGAAAAACGTTAAAATGAATTTTACGATCTGGTATAATATGATTGTAGTTATATTTAAAGTTGTTTCTGATCTGATTGCTAATCCGGTTTGATCTAATCTGGTCTGATTTAATATGATTTTAATAAAAATAAGTACTAAGCTGAAAAAATAAGTTGAACGGAATGCAACCTATACATTACCATTGGTTTAATTTGATTCTAAAATACTTAGCATGACTAAGGAGAGGGTTCGGATTTTCACTCGATTTTAACCAAAAGCTAAACAGGGAACCGAAAGTAAAAAAGTAGCTCGGATTGGTTTATAACTTCACACTAAGTTTTCAAATCGGTGATTGTTCGATTAATTTTTTTGTACTTATTTTACAATTTACAGCATAGTTTTGTTAGAAAATTGATACGAAGAACAGATCACATGCACAGTAGACTTGTGATTTTTTTATTGTGAATTACATACAGGAATGCTATGTTCCTGGAATATTTATAGGCAGCAACCAAAACAACTATTGGCACTAATCAACACATCTATTACTAACCAATACAACTTCCAGAAATAACTACCCATAACTGTCCCTTTTAGAAACTGCCCTATTGTTTTTATTTAAATTAATTAAATATGTAAAACACACTAAACGACACCACACTAACACTAATTGACTCTATACTAACTGACCCGAACATTGACTCATTAGTCATTACCCATTTGGTTATATGTGAAAAAACCCGATTAAATCTAACAATCACGCCCTTAATCGTTGTTTGTTCACATTGATCTTCACAACAACGTTGATTCATCATCTTCAATCAAATTTGCAATCTGTTCCTTTTGATCCCATTTTGGACATTCGTTCAAAAAATGCCCTAACTCATTGCACTTGAAGCACCTAACGTGACTCTTATCCCGCTTAAACCGACCATCATCCTGACCTTTCCCGGACCCCCGACCTCTACCTCGGCCACGTCCAAAGTCTTCTCGGTTTAAGCTCCAGCAACCACAATGCTCACATTTGTGCTCCTGAACCTTCTCTTTTCCATCACCTTTAGTGAAGAGTAGTTTACCATGCATATCTCCTTCATCAGTTGGCCTTTTGATGCGTTCCTCGAATGCTTTCAATCTTCCAACCGCTTCTTGAAACGGCATTGTGTTAATGTCAGCAAACTGTTCAATTGCAGCAACGATCTGTATGAACTTTTCAGGTACAGAACCCAAAAGCTTTCGAACCAATCTTTTGTCTTCAAATGCAGACCCAAGATTGTTTGCTTGTGTTGCAAGTTGACTAATTTTACCAGCAAAATCATCAAGTGACTCATTGTTCTTCATCTTTAGAGTCTCAAAATCTGATTCAAGTGTCTGTAATCGCGCCGCTTTAACCCTGTCAACACCAACGAAGCGAGTCTTCAAAGCATCCCAAATTTCCTTTGCTTCAGCAAACTGAGCAACTTGTAGCACAATCTCTTCCGGTAAAGCTTGAAACAAATATGCTATTGCTATATTGTTCTTCTTTGTATCGATTTCTGTTCCTGGTTCGATCACCTCCCAAATCCCATTAACATTAAAAATTGCTTTCATCTTCACGGCCCAAATAGTGTAGTTTGTAGCAATAAGAATTGGAACCGTAAAAGATAGTGAACTATTCTCCCTTGTAGTCACAATCTGTCTATTGTCTTCCATTGCACGACTTTAATTCCTATGACAATTTTCACAAAATTCTTAGACTTTGATTCCTTCCTGGGTCGTAAGCCACCTGCAATCGACCATCAACCAGAAGACAAGCCCCTGCTTTTCCGTCTTCCAAGCCACTAAACGAAAGCTACCCCGCTGATTCGTTTTTCCCGGACTGTTTGGTTGGAATGCTTCTGCCAAAGGAAAAAATAGCCACTTGCTATTCTTGTCCTAGGCAAGGAAGAATCTTGTCAAAGATTTTGATCTGTTGTCAAGGAAGATTTTGATCTGACAGATCTCCCTTTTCTTGCCGCTGATCGCACACGCTCTGATACCAAATGTTAGAAAATTGATACGAAGAACAGATCACATGCACCGTAGACTTGTGATTTTTTTATTGTGAATTACATACAGGAATGCTATGTTCCTGGAATATTTATAGACAGCAACCAACACAACTATTGGCACTAATCAACACATCTATTACTAACCAATACAACTTCCAGAAATAACTACCCATAACTGTCCCTTTTAGAAACTGCCCTATTGTTTTTATTTAAATTAATTAAATATGTAAAACACACTAAACGACACCACACTAACACTAATTGACTCTATACTAACTGACCCGAACATTGACTCATTAGTCATTACCCATTTGGTTATATGTGAACAAACCCGATTAAATCTAACAAGTTTGATGTTGTGCTCATTTGGATCTCACTCTTATTGACTTAACAACTTAGAAGAACAAATCAAGCATACCACATACACATCTCTGTAAAAGGAGTATTTTTGGCCAATAAATAATTTTAAGGGTATACTGCCAGCAAAATTGCTAGGGGCAATTCTGAGCAAATAGGTGAGGAAGGGGATCTTTTTTGGTGGATAAATAACGTTAGATGCATATTTGAACCAACAGGTGGAGGTAGGGAAAACTTGCCTAAGTTTTGATATGTTACGGCATTCATGAAACTTTTCCTCTTTTTTTAATAAACCGAGAATGAAACTGATGAATTGCATCCAAACAAGCCAAAGTTCTTTGGAAAACCGTGTAAGTTCATTTTTGATACATTACTGCTTTCTTGAAACTTTTCCCTTTTAAAAAAATAAACCGAGAATGAAACTGATGAATTGCATCCAAACAAGCCAAAATTGTTTGGAAAAAAGTCTCAGTATCTATCTCTATGAGAGGTAAGGACTGTGTATTTCTGCATTCCTTAAATCCAGTCAGATTAGGAATATGCTCTTCTTGTTGTTGTTCCTACTTTTCTGATATACCATTGGTTTTAATGCCATGATTAAAATAACTTGAGTGTATCTTATTGAACCCTCTACCCTAATAGCACATACCCCTAGATTCTTGGAGCCCATTTGGTGAGCAAAACAGAGTCGATATGATATGAATTCTGAAAAACCTGGGAAAAAGTAATTTGTTCTGAAATTTTGAATGAAATATTTGGGAAAACCTGACCAGAAAAACTAATAGAAAAAGCTACTACGTAGTACGTACTAGAAAGTAGCATCCATCAAGTAAGTTCATTCAGGCATTTCATCAAACAGTTGGCAGTATCCATTCAAAAACAGAGGTAAGCTGAGAGAAGAAGACATACATACCCTAGCATCTCGGACTTCGAGCACAAGATCAACCAGCGGAATCCTCTCTGCAATGGCATGAGCGGCGGCGGCCATGTGAGGGGTGTACCACCAGCTCGAGCTTCTGTTCTTCGCCAAATCCTTGATTGCAGTCCCTAACTTGTGGACTACACCCGGTAAAAGGGTCTTCATGACGCCCTACTTGCCTGTATATGAACTCACAATCCGTGATACCATTATCCCCTTGAAGTATTGAAGGTGATCGATTGAATCGTGCTGTTCGTGTGGCAGATGAATAAAGCATGCACACGACACCCTTGCTGGTTAAACTAGTGTTTGATGGAGTTTGATTTTCTAGAGTTAAACTGAACAATCTTTAATTACTTAAATAGTGTTACGTATCAATAAAATAAATTAGGATGGAGATACTACAAAACAATGATGTTACAACTTACAAAACTTCCTAGTTGGTTTCTTTCATTACGTAATTACAAAGAGGAATTTAGTTAAATAGCACTAGAACATAATGATTTTCCCTAAATAACACCACATGTGTTTTTCTTTCTAATGTAGCACTTTTAGTCATTATTCAAGTAAATATTCGTCATCACAGGACATTATGGACATTATTAAGTGCTATTTAAAGAATAAAACAATTTAAGTGCTATTTAGAGAAATGACTTAAGTTTTAGTGCTATTTAGTGCAAATATTTCTTTACAAAACTTAGACGATTTTACTTTCAATTCAAGTTACTTGAATTATGAATGTAAAATTAAAAATACAGCATATAAATTAATTTTTTTAAAACTATATAAAAAATCTAGAAATTAGAAGTGACTTTACAATATTATTTTATCAAACGAGTAACGAAAATACGCAAACAAAGTATATACAATTTAACTCTTTGAATAGTATACGTTAAGAAAGAATAAGATATTGGACAAAGGAAAATTTTTGGTCAACTTTAGTTGAAGTCAATACTCGTTTTAGTCCTTGTAACTTGTAAGTGTACTCTCAAGTCTATTTAATTCTTCTAAGTTTGGTTTAATCAAATTAGTCTCTATAACTCGAAAATGTGAATCAAATTAGTTGTTTATGCAAAGTTTATCTTTTAAAATTCGAAATTAACATGAAGTTCATGTTCGTATCCTTAAAAGGGCATGCTTTATACGAGGTTTGACGGTGCTTGATCAACATTGTCAAAGTATCAAACACAATATCATGGCCTTTTCTCACATTTGAAAGCATGGGAGATATTTAGTGGGCACTCCAAATGGGCCCTGGTGCCAAACGAGGTATCCCGAGCCAAACCGACAAAAACGTTGAAATCCAGGCAATATAATAGTCCCATTGCATGGTGTCTGATGCTCGTTCAACATCTGCATTAGCTGTCGAGCCACGACAACAACGATATTCTAACACGAAGGGTCAACTATCGACAAGATGACCATCTTTAACAAAGTGCTGCCTAAGAAGATTCAACGGGAGCAAAAAAGATATTGACGAGACGCTAAGGCTTGAGCGTGAACGCAATGCGTAAAAGGACTACAAGATTCTGATGTCAAGTGTTGATCATTTGCCACCTCTAGAGCGCAAAATTATTCTAAAAAAAAACAAAATTTGTTGGAAATGGCTTAACTTGGAAGTGCGACTGACAATTTGGAAAGTGATAATTAATTCTGTTTATCAAGTAATTGTATTTTTATCGAGTACATGTACTTTTTTTAGTACGCCTCTTTTTTCGTGATTTATCTCTTTTTTTCTTTTACTTTTGTTATCGTAATCTTAAAATTCATATTAATGAGAGTTTTATTTTATATTTTAATTGTAAATGATTTTAATTAAAATAGATCTTAAACAAGGATGTGCGATCCAATCCCTAGAAGGGGATGAGATATGGTGAAAAAAGAAAAGGAAAATAGACTAAACTAAGAATAAACATGAATAAAATATTGAAATAAGAATTCTATATTTTTTATTTCTAAAATACGGAGTAATAGTACAAACATTACAAATATTCACAGAGAAAGAGGGGAAGCCGAGCCCTGCCACAAAGAGAGAGAGGAAGACTTGCCACAACAGAGTATCGTAGGTATACCAAACGAACTGGTGTAAACAAATGACACTAGTAGCAGTATTGTCATTTTAGACTTACTTCTACTAATACTACTACTCCGTATTTTAGACTTATTTTTTCTACTTATTACTTATTCTTATTACAATCAAATCAGATCAGATTAGACCAGACCTAATCAGATCAGATCCAATCAGATCATATCAGACTCAATCAGATCAGATCAGTTCCAATCAGATCAGATCAGATCAGATCAGACCAGATCCAATCAGATCAGATCAGACCAGATCGAATCTAATAATATCAAATCAAGAAAAAATATAAAAGATAATATTTATTTATTTTTCAAGGATTTAATAATAATAATAATAATTATTATTATTATTATTATTATTATTATTATATTTCAACTACAAACCATTATTCTAAATAATTCTTTAGCTTGTAGGATGGAAATGATGAATGGAAGCAATGTTAAAGCTTAAAAAGTTTTATTTTTCATACTTTAAAAATATTTATTTTAAAATACTTGTTTATAAAATAATTATACAAAACTCAGTTTTCAAAACTATATATATTTTATACTTAAAAAGACTTACTTTTAAACTTTAAGATGGTATAATATACACAAGGGTGAATTTATGAATAAATTGATAGAGGTGAAAGCGATATTGGTGTTTAAAATTTTATATGATCTTTAATTTGTAACATGAAATATATTATTATGTAATATGTATATAGAATATGATATTTTTGTAGAATAGCATTAATATTTTCTAATATTTGTTTATTTTAATACCAATTATTTAGTTTTCACAAAAATTAAAAATGTTGTGATATTGAAAAGATTTTTAATATTTTAAAAAAGTTTAAACATATTAATGATTAGCTGATTTTCTTATTTTACTTTTTTTATGTATATATGAATTCTAATACGTACTTTAAAAATATTAAATTTTGTAATAATTTTAAGTTTAATTTAAATCAATTTAAATTCATTTACACCAGATCTAATCAGATCAGATCAGATTCAATCAGATCAGATCCAATCAGATCAAATCAAACACAATTAGATCAGATCAGATCCAATCAGATCAGATCAGATTTAATCAGATCAGATTAGATTTAATCAGATCAGATCAGATCTCATCATATCAGATCAGATCAGATCAGAACTTCAAAAGGCGTACGGAAGAGAGCCTAAATCAAATACTTTTTGGTGGATTAAAAGTGAAGTTAAAAGTTTGAGATCCCCAAGCATAACCCTACTCAATATTAATGTGTGGCCTCTCCCCGCGTCGACATGTCCGCTGCAACAAGCAAACCCATCCAGCCAGCCAGCTGCAGAAGTGCAGAGTGAAATAAAAAAGCAGACGGCGTCGTATGCTCCTCCTCCAGACACGACGAACTTCACCTCCCCCCTCTCCTCTCTCATCACGTGCTCGTCTTCCCCAAGCACATGACTTCCCGCGGGCCCCACCGCGTCGTGGCATAGCAACAGTCCTCCTTCTCTCTACCAGTTCCTACTGTTCCCGAGACGCCCATCTCCAGTCTCCATTGTTCCTTTCCAAGCTTTTCTTACTTCTGAGCTTCTCCATCTTCTTCTTCTTCTTCTTCTTCTTCCTCGCTCTCGTTCTGTATATTACAATCTCTGCGTGTACCTCTGTCTATGTGAAGGAAGAGAAATGGGCTGTTTACAGTCCAAAACCGTCAATGTCCAGTCCCCTGACAAAGAGCCTTCTCACCCCGACTCCAAACCAGATCTCCGTAACTTCTCTCTCTCTCTCTCTTTCTCTCTTCGACTTACTGCATAATGTCTGTGATTCTCATGTTTTGTTGTTGTTGTTGTTGGATTTCTAGCCGATGAGAACCAGGTAGATCAGGAGCAAGTGCCTGCGTTCGCCGAGCTCAGGACGGCGACGAACGGGTTCAGCAGCGATTTGATAGTTTCCGAGAGCGGGGAGAAAGCGCCCAACGTCGTGTACAAAGGGAAGCTCCGCAGCAACCGGATTGTCGCCGTGAAGCGTTTCTCCAAGCAGTCTTGGCCCGACCCGCAACAGTTTCTGGTAAATCTGCGGTGGCGAGCTCTTATTTCCTTCCGTTCCGGTCATTTAAATTGATTGCTGTTACGGTGGTGCAGGGGGAGGCTGCCGGAGTTGGGAAGGTTAGGCACAAGAGATTGGTGAATCTGATTGGTTGCTGTGCTGAGGGAGATGAGCGTCTTCTGGTAGCCGAATTCATGCCCAATGATACACTTTCAAAGCACCTCTTTCATTGTAGGGTTTCATTCTTTAAATTTCTGAATTTACTGAACTTAACTTAGATTTTGTTTTATCCTAAACGAAGGGTACATTTGGATACCAAATTTTAAGTACTTAACTACTTTGGTAAAATTATTACACAACATCCTTGTAATTACATGGGTGTGTGCAATTACATAGACTGTTTGGTAATCACAGTGTAATTACAATGTAATTAATAATTATTCTGTTTATGTTTGGTTACACACTAGTGTCATGAGTGCAATTATGCCAAATCTCAGTTACACATTCAGACACCTTGAAAAGTGTTGAACTTAATTGAAACTACTTTATTGAAGTGAACTGAAAATAAGTTTTAAAAGAGCAGGCCCTTAATAGTAAACTATTTTGTGCTTATCTTAAGCTTGTTCTTGTTGCAATTTGTAGGGGAAAAGCAACCATTGCCTTGGGAAATGAGGGTAAGAGTGGCTTGCCATATTGCACAGGCTCTGGACCATTGCAATGCTGAGAACAAGAAAATCTATCATGATTTAAATGCGTACAGAATTCTGTTCGATGAGGTATTTATTTTGGTATTCACACATCAAATTAAGAATTCAAATAAAGTAACTTGTCTATATTTAATTTTTTTTTGCATATGCATTAATGGGGTATATTTTTATTTTTATTCCATTAAAGTAATGGAGTACATTTTTATTTCTTTAGCATTAATGTTTACATAATGTTGACATCTAATTTGCATACTGGAAAAGCTTCCTAGTTTTGTGAAGTTTTCCTGGTTTCGGTCTTTCGGAGGTTAAATACGGAGTACTAGGTGCTTTCTTTTGCAAGTGGGGTTTCCCCTGAAAAATGAATGGAAGTTGGTAATAATATTCTCTATATAATGTGGCATTCATTCGAATTACTCCGTATATCCTAATATTTCCATGAATGTATTGATTTTCATACACCTGACTCCCTTAGACATGATCAATTCAAAATATGGTATGGTTTCGCTTAACTTCAATGCATATACACTTATTATTTTTTGATATCCATGATTAGGATGGTGACCCAAGATTGTCTAGTTTTGGGCTGATGAAAAACAGCAGAGATGGGAAGAGCTATAGCACCAATCTAGCTTATACACCCCCAGAATTTTTGCGTACAGGTACGTTTGTACTCTGTATTTCATAGATAGAATGTGATGCTATTCTGTCATATAAAGGAGGATCTATTGGGAAAGAAAAAAATCTCACTTTCATTAATTGAAACTTAATTATTCACATGGAAGTACCACATTTCCTTATCCGTTACACCTAAGCTTAGGTTGCAATGTTGCATCGGATAGAGCTGGTTTAAGGGGGACATTAAGGGTGTTGTATTATCTTTAATTGAGCTTGTCTAGAATGAGAAACTCAATGCTGACGCCTGGCTTATGAATCCATTAGAACGATGCCAACGCCTTGAAGCATTTCAGAAAGATTTACCCTCATACCACATTTGGCATGCATAATTAATCAGAGTACTAATTAATTCCTTTCTTTAAAAGATGCTGATGCCTTATAGCATTTAGGCAAGATTTCCCCTCATGCCACAACACGCAGATAATAAATTACTCTTAAGTTACCCCTTCTGTCCCATTTAGTGTTTTGTTTCACATAGGTACAACCATTAGAAATTATCAGTTATACTCCATCCTTCCCAAAATGAAGATCCCGAGTTGGTTTATGATGTTTGATTAAAATTCTTTTCAATTATATTTATTTGAAAATTGGTCTAGAATTAAAAAGTATGGAGTACTCCGTAAAATTTATATACACTTAAAAACTAAATAAAAAGTTCTACAAAACAAGAGTGGCATGACTATTATTTTAACAAATGAGTATCGAAAGTGCAAGAAAAGTGGATAAAGTATTACCATGTGACTAGTAAATATGGGAACATCGTTTTGAGATGGAGGAAGTATCTATATTTCAAAATTTATTTGTTTGCCTAAGTCCTAACTAAACCTGACACAACCTACATGTTTCAAACATTTTTCATTAAAACATTTAATATGATGAGAAGTACCTTATTTTGATCATATACATTGAAAACTAATCTGACTTACAAAGAGTCACCAAGAGTGAGTGTAGTACTGCAAATAAGTATTGATGTGCCATTTTCTATTCCTAGGCTTATTTAACAAGCATTTTAATTTTCATTTTATCTTAAATTTGAAATTTCTTTTTGACCCTGGCACTACCACACTTCACATATTGGATAAGAAGGTAAACAGAGGACTAGATTTTGTGTAGTTACTATAGTTGAAAATGCATTGTAGTTAAGTCAGGAGTCTTGGAACTCAAAATGGAATTTACTCTTTAATGAATTGAACTTAAGTTTTATTCTGGGCTATGCAGCTTCAAATTAATTGTTTGACGTTATGGAATATATCATTCTTCTCTCTTTCAGGAAGGGTAATTCCAGAAAGTGTGTTCTATAGCTATGGAACTGTTTTGCTGGATCTCATGAGTGGGAAGCATATACCTCCAAGCCATGTACCATAAACTCTTTTTCTTCTTTATTGTTATTATAAGCTTCAGTTGAATCAAGATAATAATCAAATCAAAGTTCTCACTGCAGTATATCTTGGTCACATGCCATTTGCTCCTTTTAGTATCTCATATTCTCATTCTCATATATTATTCTGCACTCTAAGTTTTATCAAGAGTACATTAACTTAAGGTGTGGTTTAGTTACTTTGGTAGACCTTACTAACCTGTAGCTTAGTCAAATGTATTTGTATTTTACGTGTAAATTTATGTTACATTAAATCATGTTAAATTACATTCTATTTCAACTTCACCAACATACACCTTAAGGTAAATCACTTGAATGAGAAAACACATATGAAGCAGTACTAGACACCACTTTCACTTTTGCATGATCATCACCAGAATGTTGCTTGGCCGGATTCACCCATTCAAAGCAATTTTTATTTTTTCAGGCTTTGGATTTGATAAGAGGGAAAAACATATTGTTACTGATGGATTCATCCTTGGAAGGACAATATGCCAATGAAGATGCTTCCGCATTAGTAGACCTCGCTTCAAAATGCCTTCAGTATGAACCTAGAGATCGTCCAAACATCAAGTTTATTCTTACTGCAGTGACACCCCTTCAAAAGCAGAAAGATGTAGGGTTATTCTCATTTCTTTCTTTTCTACACACAGTCAATTAAAACTTTTAGTGATACGTATTCATGCATGCTTTTTCATTGAAAAACCTAGGTTGCATCACTTGTTTTGATGGGTCTGACAAAAACTACCCCTGTTGTGGTTCCCACCATGCTCTCTCCTCTTGGGAAGGCATGTGCAAGGATGGACCTCACAGCTGTGCATGACATCTTGCTTAAAACTGGCTATAAAGATGAGGAGGGTGCAGAAAACGAGGTGAGCTATTGTATCGGCTTCACTCTATTTTTGGGATCGTGTACCCATATTTCCTTGTAGTTTTGAAAAAATAAGCAGGACTCGCTCTTTTTTGGAGCCTGAGGGCTTATGTTGCATCGTCATCACCATTCATTTCATGGTGTGGCCTGCACACTATAGAACTTAATGGTAATGGTGAATGCATCTGTGGGGGGGGGTTAGGGCTTATGTTGCATCGTCATCACCATTCATTTCATGGTGTGGCCTGCACACTATTGAACTTAATGGTAATGATGAATGCATCTGTGGGGGGAGGGCTTCTATGCCTAGGTGTGGATTTGTATACTCTATACGGAAGGTGGCAAACTTATGATGTATACTCATTTATTATATGATGTTGGGAAGCTGTCATTCCAAGAGTGGACACAACAAGTGCAAGATATGCTAAATACAAAGAAATTCGGAGACATTGCTTTTAGGGACAAGGACTTCAAAAGTGCGGTCGAATACTATTCAAAGGTAATTGTGTGTTTTCCTTTCACTATCATTACCAGTAAAATACAAACCTCGGTCCAAAATCTTAGTGCCCAAACGCTAACACCACGTGGCATGCCATTTTCAATCCACTTGGCATGCTATTAGCCACACGGGACCCCACATGGCATCTTAAATTTATTCAATTTATTTCCTAAACACAATATATGTAGTCGTTTGCCTTAGTAACACATACATTGTTGTCTCATACTCGTTTAACTTTAAGCCTACTACTACAACACACCCAGTGAAATGTCACATTGAGGTCTAGAGAGGGCGTGTAGAGATCCCGTTTTTCAAAAACTTAAAATCTGTTTTTGAAATAAAGTAGGTTTTTTATAAAATTATGCTCGCCGTTGCAAATCAAATTATTGATTAATAATAAAAAAAAAAGTCCATGAAGGATGTGTTGTAAAAAAGGGAATGTTTTCCCAAAAAAAGGATTACTATTTATAAGTCCATTTATACACATGCTAACTAAAATTGTTCCTTTCGGATTGTTGACCTTGCAGTTGGTATCTATGATGTCGGTTCCATCTGGAACAGTATTCGTGCGGCGGGCCCTCTCTTACCTGATGTTAGACCAGGCAGAGCTGGCGCTTAGGGATGCAATGCAGGCACAAGTATGCTTGCCAGAGTGGCCAACTGCGTTCTACATGCAGGCCCTTGCCCTCTCTAAACTGGGGATGGAAACTGATGCCCAGGACATGCTCACTGACGGTTCCTCCTTTGAAACAAAGAAGCTCAACAGTTGGCGAAACTGAACGCGGCTATGGTTAACCCAACCCCCAGGTTAGATATATAGTTAAGCTGTGAGTAGGGTTATTCTATTTCTACCTGTATGATGATGGTGGTGATGAGAGGTTTGCATTTACCCAAAATGAAAAATCAGCCTCTGCTGTAGTAAGCTCATATAGTTTCCATATGCAAAGTGTATAGAGCGCTAACTGGCTCTTTCTGAATAATACAGTACTGGTTTTTAATCTTAAATCTTAACATTTCTCTCATTTTATTTGTGTCTCACCTCAAATTCTCAAGGGAATGAACTCAAGATTAAGCTGATCGATGGTTAGAGACCAAACGAAAAGTTTTATATGGTTCGGAGAACTGAACTCGTGACCTTTTAGGTCTACATAGTTCAGATACCATGTCAATAATCGATACAATCAAATGCTTAAATTGATGGTTAGGCTCCCAGGTATGGATGCCGAATGAGCGAAAATGTCATGAAACCAAATCAAATTCAAGCGGAGTTGTAAACCCAGGAAAGGTTTTATACTCTAAAACGCCCCTAAGGGAGATTAGTGTTTACCCTTAACGTGCAAGCGAGATCAGTGTTTGCTTGAATTTGTACGTGAATATTAATTTTTAAAACTGGTTGACAATGAAGTTTGAACTCGTGATATCATATCAAGAAAATCATTTCAATCAAAAGCTCAAGTTTATGGTTGTAGAAACGTGCTTCTCAATCACAAACTTGAGCCTGCACATGAAGAGACATATTATACTATAAAATCTTTTCTGAGTGTAGACTCAGAAAAGATTTTTAGTTGGTTCTTTGATATGAAATCAAAAGTCTTGTTGACTTAGAGGTCTCAAATTTGGACCTGATGTCACCTAATATAAAAAAGAATTAATTTTCTCGTTCATTGCTTGAATCAAAATAAAAACTTTTCTTATTTTTATAATCATAAGCTTGAGTTTTTAGCCGTGTTGGTTCTATGACAAAAATTCAATCATATATACTCCCTCCGTCCGAAAATACTCTTCCCATTTTCCTTTTTGGTCCGTCCGGAAATATTCTTCCCATTTCCTTTTTTAGTATACTTTTTAAGGATAAATTTCAATAATACCCTTCTATTTTATCACTAATCTACTTTTTTAATAAAAAAAGAAGATTTAAAAATTTATAGTATGTGTATTTTTGAAAATTTTGCATTTTTTTACTATTCCTTAATAAGTGTGCCAAGTCAACACGGGAAGAATATTTCCGGACGGAGGGAGTAGTACTTAGTACTTTTTAAACATAAAAAATAAAAAGACTTTATGCGGAGTATAATACTACTCTTTTTGTCTAAAAAAGAATGTCATAGTGCACTATTCAAAAATTATGAATTTTTTTGTTTATTTGTATGTTTTTATTGATTATTTGGTAAAAATAAAATATTTTTGTCACTTTTACTCCGAAGAACTTTTGATGCTTTTAACTAATGAGATTTTATTTTTATTTTTATATCAATCAATAAATAAAATTAATTTATGGTATGTTTGGGAACATGGATTTGGATTTCAAATCCGGATTTGGCTTAAATTCCGTATTTGGGAAACTTACAAATTTTGAATTTGGATTTGAATCAAATTTTTCTCATTTATAACAAAGCTTAATTTTAAATTCATGCACCTCTCATTGTCATTTGAAATTCAAGATTTTAAATTTTGAAATTAAAATACATGAATTGAAATAAAATTATTGTTGCCAAAGACTACCTTAAAACATTTGAAATTTGGATTGGTTTTGGATGGTGAAACCTTTTGAGACACATGAAGCATAATTCTAAGTTTCTAACACAGTTCGAGTGTGGTATCAAAGTGACGTGTTTGGGTGGGGTGTCTTTTTTTGTGCATACAGTTGTTGATATGCTGTGTCGTTTGGGTGTTCTGGTATGGCTTTATTTGGAGTTTTTAAGGATTTAAAATCAACCCATCCATATTCTTATGCGGCCAACTCCACTTATATTTTTTTGAAATAAACATAGAGTACAAAAATTCATTATTCAATCAACAAATGACTCACCTTATAATATATAGTGCAAATTGTACAATCCACCCTGTTTTTCGTTTATTACAGATAAAACTTATTCTTGAAACATTTTAGACATTTTAAGTTGAGTAACAATATTTTGTGAGATGCGTAAAAGAAAACTAAACATCTATTTTTAACGGTATCATATATCCCGTGATTTATGCAAAATATCATTTGATGCTTTTTGGGGAGGGTGGTGTGGTAATTTGAGGCGAACTATTTGAATACTTAAAAAGTTATTTAAATTCTCAATATAAAAAATAGATAGAATTTAATTTGATTAAATTCTTCCCATTAAACACCGCCCCCCTTGTGTGCGTGAGTCATGCACCGTGGCCACCATCACGGAGAGCAAGAGTCGATCAGTGGAGTGCTCCATTTTTTTCTTCTTAGTTTATTTCTTTTGTTTTTTAGTTCTTTGTTTAGCTTTTTATACTCCCTCCGTCCCAAATTATTTGCCACATTTGTATTCCCAAAATAAAATATCAAGTTTTTTCAATTCATTTTATTTACATATTAGTATAGAAATAAAAAATAAAATTTACATATAAAAAAAGTACATGAAATTTTTTCCGAAATAAGAGGTGTCAAGAATATTTTATTTTATCTAATAACCAATGAAAACATCGAAATAAACAAAAATTCTCGCGACTGCCGAAAAAGCAAATGTTGTGAATATTTAGGGACGGAGGGAGTAGTTGCTTTCTCTTTTTTTGTGTAGTTTTTTTAGTTGCTCTCTCTTTTTTGTTTAGTTTTTTTTGCAGGGCAAATTTTCTTTTATTATTATGTTTTTCATTTTTTATTGTTTGTATTTAGTTAATTAGTAGTATTTTATTTAAGAAATGTTTAAAAAGTTATTTAAATTCTAAATATTAAAAATAGATAGAATTTAATTTGAATAGAAATATTATTTAAATGTTTTCTTTTTTGGTGAAATAATTTTTTGTAATATGAAAAAGGGAAAAAAGTTAATAACAAGAATATAGTAATAACGAAAATATAATAATATTAACCAAATAAGTTTGTGTTAATTTTCATTATTAATTTATAAATGATACTCCCTCCGTTCCCCAGTCTTTGTGTCCACTTTTGATTTTTGGAACTGTTCATCTAAGCACTTTGACTCATCAAATTCTCTCAATGTGTAAGCCTAAATATAGTCATGTGTAATCTTTTTTTATTCGTATTAACATATAGATTAGTAATATATAATTTATATAATTTTTTTAATATACAAATTACAAGATAAAATAGATTAAAGAAGTGCATTGGATAGTGTGTAAAAATGAAAGTGGACAAATACTATGGGACGAAGGGAGTATAATTTAATATGAATATAAAAAGGAAATCATTTATAGAATAAATAAAAGTATAACTATTGCAATGTTGGTGAGACATTACAATTGTAGAATTTTGGAAAAACTGAACTGTCTTTCATTCAATATTCACAACGTATATATACATGTGCCAAGTCCTACTACAAGTATGGAAAGGACTCCTTACAAGGAAACTAATTACAAAGGAAATAATTACATATATGGTAGTAAATAAATATATATGCTAACACTCCCCCTCAAGTTGGAGCATGGAGATCACGAATGCCCAACTTGGACAATAAAAACTCGAAGAGAGGCCTGTTTAACGCCTTAGTGAACAAATCAGCAATTTGTAGACGAGTAGGAACATATGCGGTGGCGATCTCACCGCGCTGAACGCATTCACGGACAATGTGGCAATCAATATCAATATGTTTCATGCGTTCATGAAAAACAGGATTGGCAGCAATAAATAAAGCAGACTTGTTATCACAAAACAAACGTGGCGTCGTTGGTGGAACAACACCGAGTGCCCCAAGAAGACCGCGAATCCATCGTACCTCTGCACATGCGTTAGCCATGGCACGATATTCAGCTTCTGCTGATGAACGGGACACGGTGGTTTGTTACTTTGTTTTCCAAGAAACTGGCGAGCCACCTAGAAGAATAAAGTAGCCGCTCACAGAGCGACGAGTAAGAGGACAAGATGCCCAGTCGGAGTCACTATAAGCAGATAGCTGTAGTGAGCTATCACTACGTAAGAAAATACCTTGACCTGGATGACCCTTCAAGTAGCGAAGAACCCGTTTGGCAGCCTCCATATGATCAAGGCGAGGCGCATGCATAAATTGAGACAGAACATGAACGAAATAGGTGAGATCCGAACGCGTGATCGTGAGATAAATTAAGCGACCCACAAGTCGCCGATACTGCGCCGGGTCATGAAGCTCGACACTAGTCGACCTACCCAGCCCGTGATTCGGCGTAAGGGGTGTGTCGGCTGGTTTGCAGCCCAAGAGACCAGCTTCATGAAGAATGTCTAGTGCATATTTCCGTTGACATAGAACAATACCCTCCGCAGATCGAGCACACTCAATGCCCAAAAAATAAGATAAGGGTCCCAAGTCCTTCAGGTGAAAACAGCGATCAAGATAAACCTTAAAAGAAGCACATAATGTGGGATTGTTACCTGCAACCAAGATGTCATCAACATAAACCAAGACAACCAAAATGTCAGATCCTCGACGATGAATAAAAAGAGTGTGATCTGCATGTGCCTGGCGAAACCCGTATCGCCGAAGGGCACAAGTGAGCTTCCCGAACCAGTTTCGGGGAGATTGACGCAAACCATAAAGAGATTTGCGTAGTCGACAAACCTTGCCTGGATATAGTTGAGAAAGTCCAGGTGGCAGCCGCATGTATACTTCCTCAATCAGATCACCATGAAGAAAAGCATTATTAACATCGAGTTGGTGCACCTCCCATCCCTTTGCCGCGGCTACAAAGAGTAAAACACGGACAAACCCCATTTTTGCTACCGGGGAAAAAGTGTCAGTGTAATCCACCCCCAAAGTCTGATGATTTCCAAGAACAACCAAACGAGCCTTGTCCCGTTCTTTAGTGCCATCCGAATTAAACTTGGTCTTGAAGACCCATTGGCAGCCAAAAGCTGTCCGATCCGGGGGCAAGTCTGAGATGTACCACGTGTTGTTATTGACCAAAGCTCGGAGCTCCGTGTCCATTGCCGCACGCCAATTGGCGTGTGGGACTGCCTCAGAGTAATTTTTAGGAACAAAATGAGGACTGATGGCGCCAAGAAATCCTCGATACCTGTCATGCAATTTATGATAACAAACAAAGTTGGCAATAGGATAACGTGTACCTGAAGACGCCGACTGGGAAGGCAATGAGCACAATGGAGCGGGAGTTTGAACAGAATTGACGATGTAATCACTAAGATGGGATGGCTGACGACGCTGCCGTTGAGGACGAAGCGGAGGGGCGGCAGCTGTATGGGGGTGGGGCTGGGCGTCGGTGGGCTGCTCGATGGCAGCTGTTGGCTGGACAGGCTGGCCGTCAGCGACGGTAGCCGGAAGTGGGGCGGGCAGGGGTAATTCGGGAAAGTCGAAATGTGGGGTGGAGGTAGAGGGTTCAGCCGGCGTGTGATGTATGGCAAACGGGAACGTGCTCTCGTCAAAAGCAATGTCCCGAGTGTGAAAGAAGCGATGAGTATCAAGGTCATACACACGCCAACCTTTTGTGCCGGAGGGGTACCCAACAAACATGCACTTGGTGCTTCGAGGAAAAAATTTGTTGGAAGTCCTGAGTCGTACAAAACATAGACATCCAAAAATTCGAAGATGACTAAGATCTGGTGCTTTGTGATTTAGAACTTCAAATGGAGACTTACCACCAAGTAGTTTGTTGGGAGTACGGTTAATTAAATAAACAGCAGTACGAACACATTCCCCCCAGAATTCAATAGG